AGATTATTTTGCTTATTCTTTTGTTGTTGAAGTTGCTTGGTATTTTCTTATTTGATTGGTTTTTGTTTGTTGTTATTTTATTACTTCTGTTTTCCCTTCCTGTGTTGGAAATTAGGGGCTGTTGTAGATTGTATCATTCTCCAGGTACTGCTGACAGCATTTGTTGGGATTAGTGGTTGTTCAATTGAAATTCTCTCCCCATATATATAGTTTATTCCCATTTTATCTCTTACTCTATTTCTCTCTCTCTTTTTTCTCTCTCTCTTTCTCTCTCTCTCTCTCTCTCTCTCTCTCTTTCTCTCAGTTCTATTTCACCCTATCTGTTTTGAAGAACAAATATTAGGCTATTGAGAGTGGTATTTCAAAATATAATGACAGAAAACTTTCCCGAGATAGAGAAGAAAAAACCCACACAAATCCAAGATGCTCACAGAGTCCCAAGCAAAATGAACCCCAGAAGACCAACCCCAAGGCACATTATAATTAAACTGGCAAACACCAACGACAAAAAAAGAATTTTAAAAGTAGCCAGAGAGAGATAGAAAGTTACATATAAAGGAACCCCCATCAGACTAAAAACTGATTTCTCAACAGAAACTTATCAGGCCAGAAGGGAATGGGATTAAATATACAAAGTCATGCAAAGGAAGGGTCTGAACCCAAGAATACAGTACCCAGCAAGGCTATCAATCAAAATGGAAGGGGAAATCAGGAGCTTCACAGACAAAAAAAGACTAAAGGATTTTATCTTCAGCAAACCAGCAATGCAAGAAATGCTAAAGGGTCTACTGTAAAAATAAAGAAATAGGAAGTGAAGAAGGAACATGGGGTAGAGAATAAAAATGGCGTCAAATGAGTATCTATCATTAAGAACTTTAACTGGAAATGGTTTAAATGCTCCAATCAAAAGACGTAGGGTAACAGATTGGATAAGAAAACAAGACCCATACATCTGTTGTCTACAAGAAACCCACCTCAGAAAAAAAGATGCACACAGTATGAGGGTGAAGGGATGGAAAAAGGTTTACCAGGCAAATGGAAATGAAAAAAAAAGCTGGGGTAGCAATACTTATATCTGACAAATTAGATCTCAGATTGAAGGACATAACAAGAGATAATGAAGGCCACTTCATAATACTAAAGGGAGCAATCCAACAAGAAGAAATAACCCTGGTAAATATATATGCACCCAATACAGGAGCAACCAAATACATTAAAAAAAAAAAAAACTGCTGGAGGACATTAAGGAAGAGATTAATAGCAATACAATCATAGTAGGAGATTTTAATACTCCACTGTCAACCTTCGACAAATCATCTAAACAAAAAATCAGCAAAGAAATATCAATCCTAAATGACTCTCTAGAGCAGATGGAATTAATCGACATCTTCAGAACATTCCACCCCAAAGCCACAGAATACACATTCCTCTCAGGTGCACATGGGACATTCTCAAAGATAGACCACATTTTGGGACATAGGCAAAGTCTCTTTAAATTCAAGAAGATAGAAATCATATCAAGCATCTTCTCAGATCATAATGGCATAAAACTGGAAATTAACTACAATAAAAATAATCCAAAGAAATCAAACACATGGATACTAAACAGCATGCTATTAAACAAGGACTGGGTTACCAGAGAAATCAAGAAAGAAATTAAAAACATCGTGAAAACAAATGACAATGAAAACACAAAAATCCAAAATCTATGGGACACAGAAAAAGCAGTTTTGAGAGGGAAGTTCATATCCCTACAAGCCGATTGCAAAAAACTATAAAAATGGTAACAAATTATCTAACTCTACAAGAGTTAGAAAAAGAGCAACAAGAAAAGCCCAGTGTAAGCAGAAGGAAGGAAATAACAAAAATTAGAGCGGAGATAAACGACATAGAGACCAAAGAAACAATACATAAGATAACAAAACCAAGAGCTGGTTCTTTGAAAGGATAAACAAGGTAGATGAACCTCTAGCTAGGCTAACCAAGAAACAAAGAGAGAGGACCCAAATAAACAAAATCAGAAACGAAAGAGGTGAAATAACAACAGACCCCGCCGAAATACAAAGGATTGTTACAAAATACTACGAACAACTCTATTCCAACAAACTGAACAACCTGGAGGAAATGGACATATTCCTAGAAAAATACAACCTTCCAAAATTCAATCAAGAAGACTCTATAAATCTCAATAGAACAGTAACTTGGGAAGAAATTGAAACTGTCATCAAAAAGCTTCCAGCAAACAAAAGCGCAGGGCCAGCTGGCTTCACAGGAGAGTTTTACCAAACATTCAAGGAAGAACTAAAATCTATCTTCCTCAGACTATTCCAAAAAATCCAAGAGGAAGGAATACTTCCAAGCTCCTTCTATGAAGCCAGCATCACCCTAATACCAAAACCAGATAAAGACAACTCAATGAAAGAGAATTACAGGCCAATATCCCTCATGAACATAGATGCCAAAATCCTCAACAAAATTCTAGCAAATCGGCTCCAGCAGAGCATCACAAAGATCATACACCATGACCAAGTAGGATTTATTCCAGGAATGCAAGGATGGTACAATATCCACAAATCAATAAATGTGATGCATCACATAAAGAAATTGAAAGATAAAAATCATATAGTCATATCAATTGATGCAGAAAAAGCATTTGATAAATTCCAACACCCTTTCCTGATAAAAACTCTCAACAAGGTAGGAGTACAAGGATCATAGGTCAACATAATAAAAGCTCTATATGATAAACCCACAGCCAACATTATACTCAATGGGCAAAAACTAAGACCATTCCCTCTAAGAACAGGAACAAGACAGGGTTGCCCACTCTCACCACTCCTCTTTGACATAGTACTGGAAGTAGTAGGCATTGCAATTAGACAAGAAGAGGATATAAAAGGCATCCAAATTGGAAAAGAAGAAGTAAAGTTATCCTTATTTGCAGATGACATGATATTGTACATAAAACTCAAAAGACTCCATTAAAAAACTAATTGACTTAATAAATGAATTTGGCAATGTAGCAGGATACAAAATTAACGCAAGAAATCTATGGCATTTCTATACACTAACAGTGAAACTACAGAAACAGAGACTAAAAAGGCAATCCCATTTACAATTGCACAAAAAAAAATTAAGATACTTTGGAATAAACTTAACTAAGGAGGTAAAAGACCTATACGCGGAAAACTACACAACACTGAAAAAAGAGATAGAGGGAGATGTAAACAGGTGAAAGAACATACCATGTTCATGGATTGGTAGAATCAACAACATCAAAATGTCCATACTTCCCAAAGCAATCTATAGGTTCAATGCACTCCCTATTAAAATACCAACGGCATATTTCACTGACTTAGAAAAAACTCTTCAAAAGTTCATTTGGAACAACAAAAGACCCCGAATAGCTACAGCAATCCTGAGAAAGAAGAGTAAAGTAGGAGGGATCTCAATACCAGATTTCAAGCTGTATTACAAAGCCACTGTTCTCAAAACAGCCTGGTACTGGCACAAGAACAGACATATAGATCAATGGAATAGAATTGAGAATCCAGATATCAACCCAAATCACTATGCTCAGTTAATATTTGACAAAGGAGGCACAAATATACAATGGAGTCAAGACAATCTCTTCAATAAATGGTGTTGGGAAAATTGGATAGACACATGCAAAAGAATGAAACTGGATCATCAACTTACACCATACACAAAAATAAACTCAAAATGGATACAAGACTTAAACATAAGACAGGAAACCATAAAAATACTAGAGGCATCCACTGGCAGCAAAATCTCAGACATATGCCAAAAGAACTTCTTCACTGATACTGCCCCTAGGGCAATGGAAGCTAAAGAGAAAATAAACAAATGGGACTACAACAAAATAAAAAGCTTTTTTTCAGCAAAGGAAAGCATCAACAAAACAACAAGAAAGCCCTCTGTCTGGGAGAACATATTTGCAAATGTTATCACTGATAAATTTTAATCTCCAACATCTACAGACCGCTTATACAACTTAATAAAAGGAAGATAAATAACCCAATTAATAAATGGGCAATGTTCTAAATAGAATCTTCTCAAAAGAAGACAGAAGGAAGGCCAAGAGGCACATGAAAACATGCTCAAAGTCACTAATTATCCGAGAAATGCAAATCAAAACAACAATGTGGTACCATCTCACACCTGTCAGAATGGCCAATATCAACAAATCAACAAACGACAAGTGTTGGCAAGGTTGCGGAGAAAAAGGAACCCTCGTGCACTGCTGGTGGGAATGTATGATAGACTGGTGCAACCACTGTGGAGAACAGTATGGAGCTACCTCAAAAAACTGAAAATGGAACTCCCATTTGACCCAGTAATCCCACTTGTAGGAATATATCCCAAGAAGCCAGAAACATCAATCAGAAAGGATATATGCACCCCTATGTTCATAGCAGCACAATTTACCATAGCTAGTATTTGGAAACAGCCTAGGTGCCCATCAGCAGGTAATTGGATCCAGAAACTATGGTACATTTACACAATGGAATATTATGCTGCCATAAAAAAGAAAAAATTCTCATTGTTTGCAGCAACCTGGATAGAATTGGAGAACATCATGCTGAGTGAAATAAGCCAGTCAATGAAAGAGAGATACCACATGACCTCACTTATTTATGGATGATAAAGAACATTATAAACTGAAGAACCAAAAGATAGATATAGAGACAGTAAAGCAACAAGCAGACTGTCAAATTACAGCGGGGACGGGAGGGAGATCTGGGGGAGATAATAGATCAACCGAAGGACTTGTATACATGCATATAAGTACAACCAATGGACACAAAACTCTGGGGTGGGAGGGTATGTACGGGAGAGGGGGGCATTGGTATATGTACAAAAATAATAATTTAATTAAAAATATATTTAAAAAATAAAAAATAAAAATAAAAAATGAAATATTGACTGAGGATTCATTCATATTATAATAAGTTATTATACTTCTAAGTTTTACTCACTTATCAGGAGTACGAAGGTCAAGGATCATTTCCTGGACACTAATTTTAATTTCAGAAGAGTTTGTATTTGGCAGTTTAATTTTAACCTGAAAGGAAAAATGAGAAGAAAAATACTATTGTATTGAGAATCAGTTAAGAGTATAAGAAAATATAGGGAAATAAGAAGTAATATTTATTGTCAACTACTATCGATAGTATTTGCCAAGTTATGCCACTTCCTCATAACGATCTTGAAAAAACAGTGTTTATTACCCCTACTTTATAGATGGAGAAACTGGAATAAACTGAAGTTTAGCGAGTGTCTCAAGGGCAAGGGTTTGTAATTTGATTAAGGTCTATCTGACACCAAACCTATATAGAAACACTTTGGTTACTTGCCTGTAACCTTCATTGCCTGAAGTTGCATTGCAGTGCACCTGCTAAAGTTAGAGACCATCAACTGCCTTTATATCATTGGGCCCTTTGTATTAAAAAGTGGTTATTTCTTGTGTTAGGTATAAGTTGATGATATCATCTGGTAATTTCCTGGTATAAACTTCCATACCACATTTCCTAGAGAAGTGTATGAGTCCAGAGAAGTTGTTAGCATAATAAAAGAGAAATAATAATATGTTCCTTATCCATAAAATGAGAGTATATATTAGTTTGGTAAGATTTTACTTAAAAATACCTCATTTACTTATCACATGACCCAATAATTCCATTTCTGAGTATATACCCAAGAGCATTAAAAAGAGGTGCTCACACAAAAACATGTACATAACATTTTTGTTAATATAATCATTATTCATAATAGCCAAAAGATGAAAACCAACCAAATAAATACCAATTGATGAATGGAAAACCCAAATGTGGTATATACATAGAATGGAATATTATCTCATACAATGAAAGCCTAATATGCAAATTGACAGTCACTCCAATTCACAAGATGACTGCCCCAATGTGGTCAAAGATGGCTGCTCCCATGTGGACACAAGATGGCCAGCAGGGGAGGGTAGTTAGGAGGGACCAGGCTTACAAGGGAGGGCAGTTGGGGGTGATCAGGCCTGCAGGGGAGGGCAGTTGGGGGGGACTAGGCCAGCAGGGGAGGGAAGCTAGGAGCGACCAGGCTGGCAGGGGAGGGCAGTTAGGAAGGACCAGGCTTGCAAGGGAGAGCAGTTGGGAGGAACAAGGCCTGCAAGGGAGGGCAGTTGAGCTCGACCAGTCTGGTAAGGGAGGGCAGTTAGAGGTGACTGGGCCTATAGAGGAGGGCAGTTGGGGGCAACCAGGCCTGCAGGGGAGGACAATTAAGGGTGACCAGGCCAGCAGGGGAAGGCAGTTAGGGTCTATTGGGCTGGCAGGGGAACAGTTAGGCATCAATCAGGCTGGTAGAGGAGTGGTTAGGGGGTGATCAGGCTGGCAGGCAGGTGAGTCACTGGCATTAGGCCTAAAAGGGCAGTCAGACATTTCTCGAGGGGTCCCAGACTGGAGAATGTGCAGGCTGGCTGAGGGACACCAACCCTTGTGCATGAATTTTGTGCACCGGACCTCTAGTTCAGCCATAAAAAGGAATGAAGTACTGCCATGGTCAGTTTGGCTCAGTGGATAGAGTGTTGGCCTGTGGACTGAAGCATCCCGGGTTCGATTCCAATCAAAGACACATGCCTGGGTTGTGGCTCAACCCCCAGTAATGGGGGGGGGGGGTGAGGTGGTGCAGGAGGCAGCCAATCAATTATTCTCGCTCATCATTGATGCTTCTATCTCTCTCTCCCTCTCTCTTTCTATCAGAAATCAATAAAATATATTTTTAAAAAGGAACAAAATACCATTACATGGATGAATGCTAAGAATATTAAGCTAAGTGAAATAATTCAGGCACAAAAAGCCACTTATTATAAGAAATTTTATGTGAAATATCCAAAATATCCATAGAGACTGAAACTAGACGAGTGTTTGTGGGAGCCTGGAGAGGGAGCAAAGAGAAGTGACTGCTAAATGAGTACGAATTACCTTTGTGTTGATGAATATTTTCTCAAATTATATATTGGTGATGGTTGCAAAACACTGTTAATATACTAAATGTCACTAATGGCAAATGTTATGTGTATTTTATCACAATAAAAGTCTCATCTCTCTAACTTACTATCCTTTTAATAGAAGCTGATTATCTATCTATCTATCAATCATCTATTTGAGATGACATGGAATATGGTTTCCAAAGACAAAGAAAAAAAATAAACCTAACTTTTGGGTAAATTATGAAGCCTTATCTAAAATGAGCTAAAAGACTTAAAATATTGGACATCTGGTGATTTCAGAGCTGGAATGGAAAGGATAAAGGCTGTAGGTTATACATACAGCTGTCCAATTATCCAAGCACCATTTATTGAAGAGACTGTCTTGACACCATTGTATACTCTTGCCTCCTTTTTCAAATATTAATTAAGTATAATGGCTTGAGTAGAATTCTGGGTTATTTGTTCTGTTCCATTGATCTATATGTCTGTTCTTGATCTATATGCCAGTACCAGGGTGTTTTGAGTATAGTGGCTTTGTAGTATAGCTTGATATCTGGCCTTGTAATCCCTCCAACTTTGTTCTTCTTTCTCAGGATTTCTGCAGCTATTCGGGGTCTTTTGGATTCCATATAAATTTTAGACAGTTTTTTCTAGATCTGTGAAGTATGCTATTGCTATTTTAATAGGGATTGAATTGAATCTTTATATTGCTTTGGGTAATATGTATATTTTAATTATGTGGTTTCTACCAATTCATGAACATGGCATATTCTTCCACTTGTTTATATCCTTTTCTATAAACAAAGAGAGAAAAAAGAAGTGACTGTTAAATGAGTACAGATTACCTTTGGTTTGATGATTAACTTTTTCAATGTTCTATAGCTTTCTGAGTATAGCCCTTTTACCTTTATTAAGTATCTTAATTTTTTGTTGCAATGGTAAATGGGCTTATATTTTAGTTTCTTTTTCTGAAAGTTTATTATTGGTGAATAAAAATGCCATCAGCTGAAACCGGTTTGGCTCAGTGGATAGAGCATCGGTCTGCAGACTGAAGGGTCCCAGATATGATTCTGGTAGGGGGCATGTACATTGGTTGCGGGAACATCCCCTTAGGGGGTGTGCAGGAGGCAGCTGGTTGGTGTTTCTCTCTCATCGACGTTTCTGGCTCTCTATCTCTCTCCCTTCCTCTCTGTGGAAAATAAATTTTAAAAAAATGCCATCAATTTCTAGGTGTTAATTTTGTATCCTGCTAAATTGCCAAAATCCTTTATTAAATCTAGTAGTTTTTTTGTTTGTTTTGTTTTTGCTGGAGTCTTTAGGGTTTTCTAGGTACAATATCTTGTTTGTCAGTGAATACTGATGATTTTACAACCTCCTTTCCAATTTGGATGTCTTTTATTAATTTTTCTTCTAATATGATTGCTGTTGCTAGGACATCCAGTACTAAGTTGAATAAAAGCGGTGAAAATGGACAACCCTGTCTTATTCTAGTTTTTAGGGAAAATGGTTTTAGCTTTTGCCCATTGAGTATGATGTTGACTGTAGGTTTGTTATATATGCCCTTTATTATGTTGAAATATGATCCTTCTATTCCACTTTGTTGATGGTTTTTATAAAAAATGGGTGTTGGGTTTTACCAACTTATACTGTACACAAGAATAAACTCAGAATGGATAAAAAAAAATTTAAATGTAACCCATAAAACCATAAAAAACCTTGAAGAAAACATAGGCAGCAAAGTGTCAGATATCTCATGTGGCAAATTTTTCACTGATACAATGCCTGGCACAAGAGAAACAAAGGAAAAAATAACCAAATGGGACTACGTTAAAATAAAAAGCTTCTGTACAGAAAAGAAATAAGCATCAAAATGAAAAGGGAATACACTGTATGGGAGAACATATTTGCCATTTTGATACATCTGATAAGGGATTAATATCCAAAATATATAATGTACTCTTACAAATCTACAAAAGGAAAAAAAAAACAAATGCAATCAAACAATGGACAGATGACTTAAATAGACACTTCTCCAAAGTGATATACAGATGGCCAAGAGACATATGGAAATATGCTCAACATCACTAATCATCGGATAAATGCAAATTAAAATGACAATGAAATACCACCTCACACCTGTCAGAATGGCTGCTATCAATAAGTCAACAAATAACAAGTGCTGGTGAGGATGTGGAGAAAAAGGAACCCAGGTACACTATTGGTGGGAATGTAGACTGGTACAGCCACTGTGGAAGACAGTGTGGAGTTTCCTAAAAAAAATTAAAAATAGAACTTCCATTTGACCCAGTGATCCCACTTCTACCAATCTATCCTATTGATAATAAGCCTTAAATACCAATGAGAAAGAACATATGTACCCCTGTGTACATAGCAGCACAATTTATAATAGCTAAGATCTTGAAATATCCCAAGTGCCCATCAATAGATGAATGGATAAAAAAAAAAAATCTGTGGTAGAGGGTGGGCATTCTGTGATGCCATCAAATTTACATAAAACTGAACCTCTCAGAGATCTCCAGAATCTCAAGATTGTGTTTTTGGAGAGCAGCTTTTTCTAGGAACTCAACAGCACCACCTCCCAGACAGCCCTTGGACACTGCCCGCGACCCAGCAGCCACTCCAGCCAAAATCCTGCTGCCACACCCACAGACCTGCAGACCCTTGGACCTCCACCTCCAAAGGTGCACTGCTCCCACAGCAACAACCCAGCTGCGCAACTTCAGCACCAAGGAGCCTCAATTGCATCAGAGCTCTGCACCAGCAAAGGCACTGTCACAGCCGCGTATTTCCAATGGGCAGGCACCCTGAGCCCATCTATCCACAGGGCACTTGTGGGAGCCGTTGTGAGCCCTCCCTGGGTGCAGTCTTGAACAAACAGGGACACACTCTCCCAGAAGTAGAAATTCTGAATTCACTCATCCTGGATACCTGCCACATATGCCTTAATTATGCAGCTTCAGTTCCAGGGCCTTCATGTGCTTCAGTGAACCTCACTGGCAAACGTGTCATGGGTGCCCCTGTGAGCTGACACTGGGAGCGTGTACCTATCCACTACAGATACAGCA